GTTGGCAAATTGATCTTGCAAATTGTCCCAGGCATTGCCTGTAAATCTGTATTTTTGATTCTCAAGTTAGAATTTTGCTTAAAATTGAGCCTGAAACGAACAGTCTGAATACAATGTGAACAAATGTTGCTTGCAGGTTTTCCGCTTCACAAACGATTCGGGGCTTTGCTGTCAATATTTTAAGTTTCTAGCTGTCGCAGTTCTGCATTTTAAGTATGCAGGCACACATACACACACAAATGACTTCGTTTTAGTGTATCTTGCAATGCACCGGAAATGCGGAAGCGCATAAAAACTGTTTCTCAACGCCTATTCCAAAAAACTTCTGAAAAGTATCATGCTTTCTTTCGAGGAATTTTGGGTGTTCCATCCCCGTCGTTGATCAAGTTTTTTCTACTTTTGATTTCGCAGGTATGATGATTGGGCACTCTGTTTTCTGGGATTAAAAAATGTCGAATTCGTTTTATGCCGAGCGCAGCCAGCAAAATTTCACATGAACACGAGAAGTGTTCGTTTCGATGCTTCAAGTTTCTTTTTCAATAGCTGCAAATTAGCACTTTTTTCCTAAGAAGCTGTTTTTTTTTTTTTTTTCAGACCAAATCTAGCCATTAAGTAGGAATCACATTTCTCTTTTTCATTTTCTGGCATCGAAAAAAACCATTTGTAAGTATCAGTGGAATTTCCCACACAAATCGATAATGAAATTACCGTTACTGAGTGACGATTTAATGTTGAGCGCAGATATTCGTAGCCTCTTGCATGCAATCATTCTTCAGACTTAAGCGCATTCGCTTCTTCAAAAGCCACACGAATGTTAAATTCTCTCTCTCTTTCTCTATTCCTCTCTGATGCTGACCGGAAATGAAGTGAAATCAGTGGTAAGTTTTGCAGCAGAGTTATCAAGCGCGCCCCGAAAGCAAATTTTTCATTAAAGCTCTCAAGCAATATTATTCCATGCAATGAATAAATCTTTCCTTCAAGCAACTTACATGCTTCATCCCGTAATTCGCTATTTGCGCAACCCGAAAATAACTTGCTACTGTTTTCAATCTAGTTTTCAAGTTAACGCAATGCCAGCACCGAAATCCGATTTGACCGCATGCGCGATACAAATATGCATGATGATTGAATTTGAAATGTTTGTCTCATACTTGCAAAGAGAATACCCTTGCAAAGTTTCGGCTTTCTATCTTATGCGGCTCCTGAAATCGTTTCCCGCCAAAGAAATCATATTTTTTTAGGAGTCTGTATACCTGATCTAGACGTGTATGAGCAATGATTTTAAAAGAGAATGTGATACAGGGGGTGGGAATATAGCCCCTAAATTTCACTTTTGCGGCTGCTGAATTGAAAGTAGGTGACAGAGTTCACTCGCTTCCGAACACACACACAAATATACGCACGCATGAACGACCTCTCGTCAATATGTGTTTTTGATCACTGTAGCAGCGCTATAGGAAAAACGCATAAAAATGGAAGGGTAGGACATACACTTAATGAAATGAATTTACTACATGAAATTTCTTTTTTTCCTGCTGAGTCAAGGTAAAAAGTTAGAACTCTCCTTATCTTACTTTCTATTTTCACAGAGCGATCGAAAGTAGCCCAAATTTGAGCAAGTGCGTTGTTAAATGTGCGCAGGTGAAGTAATCGGTATCTCCAGCACCACGATTCACTGTTCATTTCAAGCCAGTCACACAAGTTAATACAGCTTAAGTACCTTCATTCATCCCATATTTTTCTTAACCAGAAATTATCACTGACTTAAAAGCTTTTTTTTCATAAAGTAGCCGAAGTCCTTAGCCTTCTTGAAAATTATCACATGGTTTTGTCTTCTTACAGCTTAATTTATTTGCTAAGAGCTTCAAAAAAAGCTCGTCAGTTCCCAGTGGCGTTTCTAATCCCCTTCCTTTTTTTACAAACAATATAGATGCTGGTGCAGAGCTGGAGATTTAAGCGCTTTGACAGAACTGCAGCCTCGTATGAACAGTGTTGTAAAGCTTAAGTTATAAAGCTCAAAGCATCGCAAAAGATGTAAGAAACATCAGAATGCTTGTTACGGGCATATGTGCTTCATGTTCGTCGGTGCTGTCGATTTCACCAAATGCTCCACGATCTTCAGCGACAAATGATTTTATTTTCCACATGGCTGCAACCATATCTGATACAAACACTAATCGGCGATGGATACGATCGTCTACGTGATCATTAAGAGATACCCCGAGCATTCTCTGCTATATCACTTTCTCGGTCGCGACTGGAGCTTGCTTTGCAGCTTTCTTCAGCCTCTATTTTTTACACTCGTACGTCGTAGCGTTCAAAATGCGTCTTTCTAATCAGCAACCACATAAAATTTGCGCTATCCCTAGCTTCCCGACACGCAATTTTCGGTTCAAAAGACTGCCGCGCATAATCATTTTTTGGCCGCGCCCTTTCGCTCATTTCCTTTTCAGTTAACACATCTGTTTCTTTGCTTTTCGTTCTCTCCGTTCTCCTTTTTCTGTCGTGCTTCTGTTTTACTTCTGTCTTGACTTCGATTTGGATTAAAAATTTTTGCACATTCTCGCGATAAAATCTCACGAGTGAATTTTACAGATTGTCTTGTCTATGTTATTGTCTTTGTATGCACAAACGGCCAAGAAATTACTTACCAATATTCTGGATCCAACTCATTTTGAACTTTGCCCAGCACCTTCTATCATTATTTTTTGTGCTGAATCTCGATTTAAACTAATGCTAAGCTTCGTTTAACCTAAGCAGATTGCACCATTTTGTTTTCTTTTTCTATACGTTTATGCATATATGCAAATGCAAAAACGCGTATTATGACGACCCCCCGTGTGCATGTATGTTTTTTTGTTTGTTTATGGGTGCGTGTACCTGTGTGAATGTGTGCATTTCTTCGGGCATTTCATCTCGGCAACCTAGCAAGCTCCGGTACTAAAATTTTGCCAGTGGGTTCCTCGGCCAAGTGCCACCCCAAACTTTCACGCGGGGCCCAGACGTGGGTTTCACGTACTAGCGCGTGAAAGTTTCGCCGGGAAAATCTCCAATTCGGAAGTTAGTAAAGCTAGGAGTCTGAAATTCTGAGAGGATATTCCCAGCCCACGTACAACATAAAGACTTCAAATTCAGCCCCAAGGTATGCCTGGTTCCCACACACGGCTCTTTGAAAATTTTTGGAGGGAAGTCACTAATTCGGTAGGCAGGGAAGCTGGGAGGGTGAAATTTGAAGAGTCTCTCCAAATAGAAATTAAAAACTTCAAATTCGGCCCCCGCTATGCGTAGTTCTCATTTACGGACCCGTCAAAGTTTTTGATGAGATTGAACTGTAAAGCTGAAATTTTAGGGCATTTTCCCTGTCCAAGTACCGTGCAGTCGCACAATTAACTTCCTGAAATTCGAGGACCAGTATGTCATAAATTCTAACTACTGGATTTCAGTCGATCTTATTACAGCACGAAATACTGCAAAAACGCATGATCACATGGGCACGCCTGGTGCGCATCACCAATGTTTATATATGCAAATGCAAAAACGCATATTATGACGACCCTGGTGTATATGTGTGTGTGTTTCGGGTATTTCAACTCGGCAGCCAAGCAAACTCCGGCGCCAAAATTTTGCCAGTGGTTTCCTCGACCAAGTGCTACTTCAGGATCGCGGTACCAGCCCCTACGCAAGTCTAGGCCCCATGCACGAGCGCGAGAAAATTCTAGCGAGAAAATCGCAATTGGGGAACCAGAGAAGCCAGAAAGCTGAAATTCTGCGATTGTGTTCCTCGTCTATACAGAGCTCAAAGATTACAAATTTAACTCCAAAGCGTGCATGGTTCTTACTTGCCTCACCGTGTAGGTTCCCGGCAGGAAAATCGCTAACTCGAGAATTGGGAAATTTGGGAGGTTGAAATTTTAAGAGAATGTTTCCAGCCCATGCGCAACTTAAAGAGTTTAAATTCAGCCTCCAAGTGTATGTAGTTCCCACATAAGGCCTTGTGAAAATTTTTGGCGAAAAAATTTACTAACTCGGGAACCGGAAAGGCTGAAGGGGTTTCCAGCCTTAGCTCAACTCAAAAACTTCAAGTTGGGGCCCCAGAAGAGCGCGATTCTCAAGTACGGTCCCCTGAAAGTTTTTGGCTGTAGAATCGCTAACTCTTGAACCAAAAAACTAGAAAACTGAAAATTTGGGGAGATGCTCCCTGACCACATAGTTTCACAATTAATTTCCTGAACTTCGAAGACCAATATACCGCAAATTCTGGCTGCTGGGATTCCAAGTGATCCTAGTGCAGCACGAAATTTCGCAAAAACACATGATCGCACGGGCCCTCTGATACGCGTAGCCAGTGATTTAGTTCTTTAATGACCGTTTGTGATCAATCTTCTGCGGACTGCGGTTTATGATCATTCTAATGCATTCTTCTGCGGATTGCGCATACAATCATTCCTCAAGACGATATTTGCTAGCAAAGTAAATCGGCATAAGGGAATGAAAAAGAGGCAGGCGCTCCGATTTTCAGGGACTGTTTGTATTCTAACACCGACAATTATTTAAAAACTGCATATCTAATAACAATCACTATGTTTAGAGTGTCGAATGGACGAATAAAAACTTTTTTAGTGTGACTTTTACAAAACCGTTCAGAACTCGCTCTCTTATCAATTCTGAAAACCTTGTCTACGACAAATGATATGATGCTGTGCCGTTAGGTAAAACAAAGTTCACGGAGAAATTTATCAGTATAGTTTTTAGTAAAGATCCTCTCTTCTTCGCATTTATTTAAT